TGCACTCCAGCCTGGCAACAGAGTAAGAATCCATCTCAAAAAAAAAAAAATACTCTTCTTCAAGAAAAAGAAAAATATATTTGCTCTAAAGCATGAGCTCACACCCATAGATTGGGTGGGGCACGCATAAACTCAGCCTGAAGTGAAAGGATGTATTCTCATTCACACAGCCAGGGACTGGGCCTGGAAATATCCCAGGCCATCAACCACCATGGGACAGTGGACCCTCATTCCTCTCCAAATGCTGGTGGGAAATCATGCCAAAGAATATTGACTGAAAATTCCTACACCTCCTCCTTTTTAAATATATCCCTGAAGAACCAGTTTAAAATGTGTCAGAATTATGAAAAGTGACAGTATATGGAATTGTTTAACAAGATGTGCTACACCTCCCTTAACTTAATAAAATTTCTGCAGCAACACTTCACCTATACATCACAGGGGTAAGTCACAGAAGTTAGTTTTCCAACATAATTGGTTAACATTCATTGCATTTTAAAAACATTTTCATTTGAGCTTTTCTTTTTTTTTTTTTCTTTTTTTTAGACACACTCTCGCTCCATGGACCAGGCTGGAGTGCAGTGATGTGATCTCAGCTCACTGCAACCTCTATCTCCCAGGTTCAAGCTACTCTCCTGCCTCAGCCTCCCGAGTAGCTGGGACTACAGGTGCACACCACCACACCCGGCTAATTTTTGTATTTTTAGTAGAGATGGAGTTTCGCAATATTGGCCAGGCTGGTCTCTAACTCCTGACCTCTGGTAATCTGCCTGCCTTGGCCTCCCAAAGTGCTGGGATTACAGGCATGAGCCACCATGCCCAGTCTCAAGTGTTCCTATGATATAATAAATTTCTTTACCTTATAGAAGATACAATGTTGAACATAATCTGACTTCTCTGCACGATTCAGTTTCTTTGTTGGAAGTATGAGCTGTACCTTGATGTCTGCGGGTATACTAATGCGTAGACTATTTATTTCTTCCTGATAGGCCCACTCTTCGAGATTTTATACTTTTGTATCCACCAATCATCATCTGACTATTGCAATTAGTGGTCTAATTTTAAAAGTCTATCCTCCCTATTCTGGTTCCAAACCTCCTAAATGGGTAATGGCAGCATTTCCAAAGGTGATATTCCAAGTATGTTCCCCAAGAAAGAATTTCCTAGTGAAAGAAGTTTAGTAAACACAGATTTCCAGGTCTCTTTACTGCAGAACTTCTCAGGCCCTTTATCGTGCTAATGTGCACTACGAATTTCCAAGATTGGGGATTTAGTCATTCCCTCAGGAAGAGGATATGAAGCAGCATTCTCCAAACACATTTATTATAATAGGAAAAACCTTTTCTACATACTTCTTTTTGGAGAAAAGAACCTACTAAAAACTCCTGGAAGTTACATTTCCAAGAATCCATTTAGAAAACCCCTGACCTAGGGAAATCAATAGATGTATGAAATCGGTAGCCTTATTTTAGACACAATTCTACTTTAAAGTAGGCTTTAAAGGGGCCTTGAGTGGCTGGTGATGATTCGTATGTGTCAGCCTCTCTTTCTTGCGAAGAGAAAACTTTACTGGCTCACTTCCAAGTCTGTAATTGGGTTCCAGATGGTAAGATTTGCTGGAAGCTGAACAGTATATACGAGGCCCTGCTACATGAGGTTTCACAGTCGGAATCAAATGAACATGTCTGATCAAACTGTTTACCTGTTTATCCTCATCGTCCATTCTTTTGAAGGAATTTTTTTCTGTGGTTAAATATGGAATCTGAACCTTAGTTCCATGCAGCTCAGCTGGGTTCCCAAATCGTATCTCACCATCATTCTTTGACATCATAAAGCGAGGCAGAGGCAATTCTTTAGGACCAGAAATCAGAGAAGCTCCAGTCAGACTTTATTTAAAAACTGCAAAAACGGGGAACTCAATGGCCAAAAGATGAATCATTTTTTAGGAAAAATTCCAGAGCACTAAATATAGATTAAATTTAGATTTAGATACAATGAGTACTCCTAGAAAAATGTCATGATTTTTTAAATGCTATGGTTTAACCAAAGTATTCTGGCTTATCATTTTTCAATGTTGCCAAATCACAGAATAAATTCAGATTTGGGACTTATCTCCCACTTCATCCTTCAGTCCAATAACCAAGAAAAAGGAGATGACATTGTATAATACAATAAGTGACAAATGGTGGCAGGTAAAATTCATATAGTGCTTAAATATGCCAGGCACCATATTAAAGATTTGCAAACATTAACTCATTTCCTCCTCACAACAACTGTGTATGATAAAACTATCATTACCCCCACCCCATTACAAAAGTGGAAACAGACATAAAGGAGCTAAGAAATGTCCCCAAGATCATACAACTCATCTGTGACAGAGTCAAGGTTTGAACACAGGCAAGCCGGTTCTTAACTAGTGCTCTACAGAAAGGTGCCTTGTTCCTAAGGCAAACTTACTGGGTAAAACAGTTTCTCATCCTATATAATTCTTTCAGAAATTTTCACATCCAATCTCTGGTTGTCTTTTCATAATGGAATAAGAAAAACAGTATCAAGTCAGAGCAATCAATCCATCATTCAGCCAGGTTCTACTGTCAAAACCATTATCCACTCATAATGTTGCAAAGAGTTGAAATGCAATGGTTTGGTATATTTATCTTTCAAAATTCTAACAAAACTATTCTGAAAGCGGAAATGATACTTTGGCACACTTCTAGTTCTCGGCACATGATGTTACACACAATCGCGTAGCACAAAACCCTACAAAAATGGGGACAATATTATGGATGATGCATAATGACTTGCATCTGTATCCATTGTTCAGGATAATATTCATCAGTGTGCCTTTGCACTTCCACTAGTTCTCTATTCCAAAAACACAGCTGCACTTTCAATGATTGATGCTGTGCTAAGGCCAGAAAATATCTTAGCAACAGCAAGCAAGTATCCTAGAGCTCCCCAGGCAAAGAAGGCCCCTGGTTCTCCAATATCCACATGATGTTTATTTTTAGTTGCTATGTCCACATTTGATTCAAAGAAGCAGGTGGCCAGGAACGGCGGCTCATGGCTGTGATCCCAGCACTTTGGGAGGTGAAGGCGGGTGGATCTCCTGAGGTGAGGAGTTCGAGACAAGCCTGGCCAACATGGTAAAACCCCATCTCTACTACAAATACCAAAAATTAGCCAGGCATGGTGATAGGCGCCTGTGGAGGCTGAAGCAGGAGAATTTCTTGAACCTGGGAGGCGGAGGTTACACTGAGCTAAGATCACGCCACTGCACTCCAGCCTGGGCAACAACAGCAAAATTCCATCCCAGGGGAAAAAAAAAAAGGAAAAGGAAAAGAAAGAAAAAAAAAAAAAAAAAAAGAAGCATGCAATATGACAAATCCCTGCATGATCAATCAGCCAAGGGCCCAAGAGACGTAAATAGAGTAACCAATCTTAATGTTTCCCAACCTCAGGCAGCTCTCCAGCACTCAGAGCAGGGATGGGCTTCAAAAGCAAAAAGGCAAGTGAAAAGAAACTCTAGAATCTTAGTAAGTCAAATATAAGCTAATCCTATGGTTTTGGTCTCAGGTATATGCTCCAGCTCAGTCTGCAAAAAGGATCTAAAAAGATGAAACAAGGTCACATAAAATAATTTGCACCCTGATCTGCCCATAAGAGGATGACTCTACTTTGAAGTATTTATTGAGGGAGAAAAGAAAGAAATGCTCAGTATTTACTGGCATTCAACAGATAACTCCAAGGAACAATGGAATACACTCACGGAATTATGAATATCAATTATTATACTAGGACTTAAATAGGGCTCCCAGATATTGTCTAGGACACTGTCACTTCACACATTCTTCCACCCCGTCTACGGAAATTCTTTAGAACTATTTGCCTAGAAAACCACCTCTCCCCTGCCCCAGACACCCACCAAACAGCAAAAGACAAAATACTGCTGAATTTCTCTCACACTTTCTTTGTTCCTGTGGTTTTAAACAACTCTCACTTAACAGAATTGCAACCATACATAATAATATTCTTATCATTGAAAACTTTCATGAAGGTGCCATTTCCCTTAGCCTGATCCAAGCTTTTAAAAAGTGAAAGGTAAAAGTAGTTTGCTGAGAATGATGGCTTCCAGGTCCAGGAGTTGGGGGAGGGGGGGAGTGGCATGGGGAGAAATGCCAGATATAGTTGAGGGGGAGGAAGACAGCACATCACACTGCCACGTGTATACCTATGCAACAATCTGGCATGTTCTTCACATGTACCCCAATACCTAAAATGCAATTTAAAAAAATAATAAATTTTAAAAAAAAGTAGTTTGCAAATGTTCAGTCTGAATGTTTTTTGTTTTTTGGGTTTTGTTTTTTTGAGGCAGGGTCTGACCGTCTCCCAGACTGAAGTGCAGTGGCACTAACGTAGCTCACTGCAGCCTTGAACTCCCAGACCCAACTGATCCCTCCTGCCACAGCCTCCTGAGTAGCTGGGACTACAGGTGCTTGCGACCATACCGGCTAATTTTTTTTTATTTTTTATAGAGATGAGGTCTTGCTATATGCTCAGACAGGTCTCAAATTCCTGAGCTCAAACAATCCTCCCACCTTGACCTCCTAAAGTGCTGGGATTACAGGCATGAGTCACCATACTCAGCTGAATATTTTTCCTAGTCACATGTACACAAAATTTGATAGTAAAACTTCGAAAAAATTAATCAATAAAGTATCTGCCATACAATAATGTCTGTCAAGAAAAAGGTCTATTTGTAGTCATTGGTTAGAATCTTATCTCCCAAACTGAATTGAATTAATACACAGGAAACAAAGTCAGAGTTCAAACTAAACGTTCAGAGGGTCTGAGGAGACAATGAGAGTGGCCATCCAAGATGACAATTTGTTTCGTAATGGTATCCTAGGTTACATTATTTGAACATAGAAATGCTTTGTATATTAAATATAAATGACTATTTTTTCCTTCCACAAAGAAAACTATGCCTGCTCCTTTTTAAACACTTGACCCTCTACAAAAAAGAAAAATCCTTTGTTTTTCCATATTTGATAGAGATACAGATATATTAGAAATACTTTAGGCTGGGAGTGGTGGCTCATGCCTGTAATCCCAGCACTTTGGGAGTCTGAGGTGGGAGAATCACTTGAGCCCGCAGTTTGAGCTCAGTCTGAACAATACAGTAAGACCCCATCTGTACAAAAAATAATAATAAAAAAATCAGCTGGGCATGGTGGCATATGCCTGTAGTCCCAGCTACTTAGAAGGCTGAGGCAGAAGGATCGGCTGAGTCCAAGTCAAGGCTGTATCATGCCACTGCACTCCAGCCTGGGTGATGGAGTGAGATCCTGTCTCTCAAAAAAGAAAAGAAAAAAAGAAATACCTCAATTTCCTCAATCCATTAAAAAAAAGTAACAGCATAAATGCAATAATAAATAGCAAGTAACATTGAGCCCCATTAGCTAGATAATATGGAGTGGAGGGTGCTGGGCAGAGAGCCCATGTTCCATCAAAATGACAGTTGCTGTTCACTCTCCTTCAATGTTATCTGCCAGAAAAAGAACGTGAGCTACATATATACTTGTGAGTTTTATAGTAGTCACATTTAAAAGGTATTTTTTTAAAAAAGTGAAATAAGCTGGTCACGAAAAGACAAGTACTGTGTGGTTTCACTTATATGAGACATCAAGAGTAGTCAAACTTATAGAAGCAGAAAGCAGATGGGCAGGCCAGTTGCAACAGCTCATGCTTATAATCCCAGCACTTTGGGAGGCTGAGGTGGGCAGATTACTTGAGGTCAGGAGTTCATGACTAGCCTGGCCAACATGGCAAAGCCCCATCTCTACTAAAAATACAAAAATTAGCTGGGTATGGTGGTGCATGCACCTGTAATCCCAGCTACTTGGGAGGCTGAGGCATGAGAATCTCTTGAGCCTGGGAGGCAGAGGTAGCGGTGAACCATGAACATGTCACTGTACTCTTTCTCTCAAAAATGGGAAGGTGTTTAATGAGTACAGAATTTCCATTTTGTAAGGTGAGATGAAAAGGTTTTAGAAATTAGTTACGTAACAATGTGACTATATTTAACATTACTGAATTACACATTTAAAATGGTTAAGATGGGAAGTTTTATTTGTATTTTATCACAACTAAAAAAATTCTAATTTCAAAACATTTTAAATGGTGAAATTGTAATAATCTATTTTAACTCAATATTATTTCAACATGTAATCAACATAAAGTATTAATGAAATATTTTACATTATTTTTTCATATTGTCTTCAAACTCCTGTGTATATTTTATCCTCCTTGCATGCCTCAATTCGTACTTACCACATTTTATATGCTCAACAGCTACTGGCTGCCATACTGAAACAGCACAGCTCTAGTTGATAGTTGCTACATGGGAATGTGAGCCATTGTGGCCAGAAATCTGTATTTTACTAAGATATAATGCTAAATGTAAGCAACTGATTTCTTTTTTAATTATGTAAAGAGTATTTTGTATGGGGGGATGACTTATAGGGAACTGTATGTGTTCCACTTGAAGAATTTTGACAAATACATACATATGTATGTATGTGTGTGTGTATATATATATACATATATATACACATATATATGTGTGTGTGTATACATATATATATATATATATATCCATCCCTGTAACCAACACCCAAATTAAGATACAGAATTTTCTTTCATGTTTCTTTCCAGTAATCTCCTCCCTTTGTTCCACCCAGCAACCTCTGTACTTTCTATACTTGCAGATTATCTTTGCCATTATGAAACTTCATAAACTGAATCATACAATATCTGTTCTTGTGACTAGCTTCTTTTACAACCTTTTT